CAGCCGCGGCTGCGCTTGGCAGCGGCTCCGCTCTTGCCTCGCCGGCCCCTTTCCCCATCCGCAGCGATGGGGACCGGGATACCCAGAAAGCCGGGATTTTCCATCCCAGCACCGGGTCCTCGAGCTGCCGCTGGGGCGAAATGACCACAGTATTTACCTATTTTTCCCCCAGACGGCAACGGAAGGGTCCGAGTCGTTATTTTGGTGCGGGCAGATTGCTAAGGCGTTTAAATTTTAGAATAAAAAGGGGAAAAAAGAAGTAAAAAACAAATTTGGAATTGGCAGCTCCTGGCGTATTAGTGGAAATGCTGCAGACTTGGCTCCCGCTCACCTCCGCAACATAATGTTAAATGGCATCAAGACAGTATATCAGTCATTTACATATGTTGCTTATAGACGCCAAACTTATTAACACAATAAAACGGCGGCGAAGAAGAAGCTTTCCTGCCTATTTTTCTCCTGGAGGATGGCAATGTTGGAAGCACCTAAGCCTCCTCGTATGGAAACACCCGGGTTTGCCTTTCATATGGCGCAGGGGGAAAATAAATACGGGAATCAGGCAGGGTCCCCCTTCCAGCATTTCGTATTTATTTTCCCAGTCCCGTATGAAAATCACGCAGGAAAAGCGGGAATGCTCCTGTGCCGTCTGAAGGAGGACCCAAAACCCTCCCCTGGGGCTGGAGGCATCATTTCCTGTGTTGATATTTCCCCAGCTCTCCCAGAAGGGCTTTTTTTTTGCTGCAATGATAGCCTTGACATGCATGGAAGGGCATTTACAGGGGCAATATCCTATAGCCCTGAAGGGAGGTAGGTGGTGGGACATCGGCTGGGAGATCAGTTTTCACCCCGAAAAGCAGTGGCTGAGCCCTTCTTGACACTTTGGGTGCTATGAACCCACAAAAACCATCCCCAGGGATCACAGTGCTAAAGCACGGAGCTCCTGGCCACGGCATCCTGAAGATCAGGGATGAGGGAAAGGTCCACCCATGGCAGAACCACGCACCCACCGCTGCTGCCACCCCACGGACCAAGGTGACAAACCACGGGGCTCATCATCCCGCTCAACCCATGGGCAACCAAAGGACAAGGGGTCCCCAAGGTCAGGCGCAAGGTCAAGGGAAAGGTCCCCAAGTGCCCAACCTCTGCACATCAACTTCCAACCAATGAGGTGCAATGACTTTCCCCAAAAACGTGGTCCTGTGGGACCACCTTGGTGAGTAGAAAATTAAATTCCCTTTCATGAACTGTGGCTGCAGCCACCAGAGCCTCAGCTGTGTCCACACCTCATGGCCTTTGGGATCTTCCACCTCTGAGAGCTCAATGAACACAGGAGCAGAGGGAGCCTGGGCACGACGAGGGGCTGGGGGGATCTTTTCTCATCAGTTTTTGAGTGGTGTTGCAGAAGTCCTTTGGCTTTCATGCTTTTCCCACCCTACCTCCCAGTCTGAGCAGGTCAGAAGCCCACCAGGACACCACACATCTGGTTTATGTACCAACACAGCAGCCACTCGGTGCTGGAGAGGCGAGGGGTGATGTAGCTCCTGTGGAAAAGCCAGTGTGACCATTGCATAGGTGGGTGAGGACCCAGCAGCCTTTTCCCTTCCTGGACTGACCCCTTCCAACCCATAGCGATGTGACTTGAGTGGCTGCCTGTTCTCAGGCTTGGTGATGGATCCTCTCTCAGTATCAGCCTGACTTCATGGACTACGGCTATCTCCCATTCACCCATGTCAATGGACATATCTGCCACCATCCCCACCATTCCCATGGCATCTTCATCCATGCATCCATCCATCCCTCCATCCATCCATCATCCCTCCATCCCTCCATCCATCCATCCCTCCATCCATCATCCCTTCATCCATCATCCCTTCATCCCTCCATCCATCCCTCCCTCCATCCATCATCCCTCCATGCATCCATCCCCCATCGATGGACCAGTTGACAAAGCCGCCTTAAAAAAAAAAAGACAACTAAGAGAGGTGAGATGAATAACTCACTGAAGCCCACCAGATTGTGCAGGGACATCTTATTCCAACCCAGAATACCCCTAAATCAAATTATATTTAAAAACAATGAAAGCCAAAGAAGCAGGAAAGGGGGAGCAGCCCAGGACAGGCAGGGTCTGGCCCTACTCACCCCCCCAATCCAAAATGCAGCCCCTCCATCACTTTGGGACCACACTTGAAGGATGATGAGAAGAAATCGGCGCAGGGGAAGGAGCTGTGCCCATGGGAAGAGCAGGTGGGAGAGGTTGGGAGGAAATGAGCCGGAGCTTTGAAGTCAACTTTTAACATCCCGGCGAGCTGCGCCCGTGGCCACGCTCCGGGGCCCGAGGCTTGATTTTCCACATTCTGCCCTTTGATGCTGGAGGCCGATGTTACAGATTAACGAGGCAGAGGGGGTGGATGGATGGACAGACGGACGGATGGACAGGCTGCCCCTGCCGCCAGAATGACGGATCCGACCCCGGCAACACCTGCCTGGGAGCTGGGTGCAGGCAGGGGGTCGGGTGCAGGCAGGGGGCTGGGTGCAAGGGTTTGGGTGCAGGCAGAGGTTTGGGTGTAGGGGTTTGGGTGCAGGCAAGGAGTTGGGTACAGGCAGGGGGTTGGGTGTAAGGGTTTGGGTGCAGACAGGGCTTTGGGTGCAAGCAGGGAGTTGGGTGAAGGCAGGGATTTGGATACAGGCAGGGATTTGGGTGCAGGAGTTTGGGTGCAGGCGGGAGTTGGGTGCAGGGAGTTGGGTGCAGGCAGGGATTTGGGTGCAGGGGTTTGGGTGCAGGGATTTGTGTGCAGGGGTCTGGGTGCAGGGATTTGGGTGTAGGCAGGCGAGTGGTGGCCAAGGCTGGGGGATGCAGACAGATGGGGACAGACCCACTCCCCTCACACCCCAAAAATCCCCGGTGCTTTCCCTTTACCC